GGCTCCTCCTTCGATTGGGTTTTCAGACTGTGACAGGGCTTAGAAATGTATTTCCATTCCTCTTTTCTCTCGAGATTTGTTTTGGCCACTAATCACAGAAATTGTATTTATGGATTCCTAAATCAAAGCTTTAAAGACCTCAGTGTCTTTTGGTGACTCATAAAGTCAAGATTCTGCCTTGCAGTCATTATTAAAAAGTTATTTATAAAGTAGAAAGTGTCTTTTTTTTGCGAAACAGGAGACTGCTGTAATTAGAATCTGCTGGTGGGTAAATGACTAACAACAGAGAGAGGATTTCCTTTCCCCAAGTTACTTGGAGAAACACACATTTAGATCCAGCTGTATTTGTTTACTGCTTACCTCTTTAATACACAGTACACTCTCCTGTGCAAAGCCAATACACATCCTGGTCGTTGGTTCTTTTATCTCAGTGGCAGCAGCTCGGAAATTACTTTTGAATTGCTCAGATCAAAGAGAAGGACATACCTCGCTTTATATGAGGAGCAACACGACCGGTGTGCATGCTCCCAGGCTCACCTCCTGGGCCGTTTTACAGCACTGAGCTGGTCTGCCAGCATGTATTACCATTAAGCAGGGAGACTTTTTTTCTCTCTACCAACGTGGCTGATGTTTTAATAATGCCTGGTTTCCTTTTCTCCTATACTGTTTACATGATGATCACTGCTGCTCTTTATAAATGGAAATGCTCATTTCACTGTTGTAAGCTGTATGCAACTAAATTTAATCTTGTATACACTCTGTGTATACAAAATGACAAAAAAATTTGTCTATATGGCAATTAAGTGCTGGCTTTCCATCTGGAGCAGCAACATTTTGGTTAAATTATATTTATAGACTTCTTACTATAAATTTTCTTTTTCTAAGGCAAGCTAAATAGACAGGAACTAAATGTCCTATCGTGAGGTCTCATCCACCACAGCTATTTGGGACATTTTGGATGGTTAAGTTGAACTGGCATGTAAATGACATTTTAAAGATCACATTGAAAGATTTATTAAGAGTCAGGGGACCATATGTGGGCTTTTTTTGTCTTTAGTTTGCTTCCTTAAATAACTTCCATTAGCAAAGATATATGTCTTTTTTTAACTACAATAGCTCCACTGTTACAGATCTGTCACACAAAGCTGTCATTATCTTTATGGCAAGACTAGTAACTGTTCTCATTAACACCTTGACATCAAATGATTATCTAGGCCTGTAATTATGAACTTGGGGAGCGAAAATGACAAACCTGCAGCGTTTAACCCATCAGCTCAATATGACTGCATTCAAGAGGAATCCTGGAATTTATCAACAAACCATCCCTTACAGCGCTGTTGTTGGAACTACCTGGTCTGCAAAGCAGCTTTGTTTATGTGCAGCGTACTAAAAACGTTCCAAGCAAATGTGGGAGTAAACTGGGGTATAGCTTGGTGCCGGGGGAAAAAAAGCAACTGATTTGCAGTATATACACAAATATGTCAAAGGTCGAAATGATAAGGCTGTGTTTTATTTACACAGGGAAATATGAATTACTCATATTACATTTGAAAAAAGGTAAATTTTCTGTGTGTATTATGACTGTATTTATTGTCACAGTCGTGATAACCATACTTATAACATATATTTAGGGAGATCTTTTGATTCTGTTGTTGAATCATGACCCCTGACCTTCACTGAGGCGAGTGGAGTTCGGTTTGTTCATCAGATAAACCAGGATGTTATGGAGTTTTTTTAAAGTGATGGAAAATTCCACCACACAATCACTGCAGCTCTCACACACCATGTAAAAAATAATAAATACAACGGAGACTGAAACTTTGTAGCCAATAACATCACCTCATCTCACACAATTACGTACATCCAGACACTTTCCACATCAGGGGCTATGGGATGGTTGAAACTACTAGAGAACATTAAGCCTTTGCTTAAGTTGAGCGTTAAGTTTAGTTAGGAGGCCCTTTCAGAGCATTGATTTTACATTGTTAGAAGGTCACTCACCTTGTAAAAAAAAATTATGATAGAGATGAGAAAATGCAAAAACATGAGAAGAGTAACAGCAGGTTTTATTGCTGCAGAACCTCGATTCACCCATACAAAGTTTTTACAAAAGAGAAAACCCAAACTTACACAGATACTTTCGAGATATCACAAGACTTTACGTTCTACAGTATAAATGAAGCTAATTTTGTCATGTTAATTTCTGCCTCCTAAAGTGTCAGTTTATATAGCTTGATTGGAAGTTGTGTGATGGCATGTAGTTAGAGACTAAAGGAAAAGCCACCTTCCTGCTTTCAGAACGGCTCCTTTTTAGAACAGCTAAACAGAGCTAAATGGTGGTGTAAGAACAGCTTTCCTGATGCTTTCTTGACCTGTGACCTTTGTATCCTGAGCTGGGATGATTTAAAAAAAGGGGATGGCTATGTACAAAGTTTACAAGTAAACAAAAGAGACAAGATTGTTTAAAAAATATATATTTTTTTTGTTTGTTAATTTAACTTTTCTTTAAGTTGTTCTTTAAGACTGAATCAATCAAGTAAGCCTCTCTCTTTGCATGCCACTTACAACCTGCATGGTAGTAAAGTCAGCATTTATTTCTTACCCCTTTCCTATAAAATTGAGCTAACTTTAAAATATACCAGAATGAAAACTGACTTTGTAAAACCTGTCTTCTAAAAGAGGTGACTGCCTTAGATTTAGCATCATACCTCATGTAGTGGCCAGAGGGATTTACCATTGTTAATCCTGGCATTCACTAATGTTGAGGGCTAAGATTAGATGAACATGTTTCTTTTTATCCTTATAAGAAGAATAATTTCTCTAGGATCAAAAACGTCTAGCTTCCTTCTTTCTCAGCACTTAGGCTTTATTGTAGATTTTATTTGGCAGTTAACTTGCCTTTCAATACAGATAAAATAGGTTGGCTAAGCTCTGCTTCGGAGTTTGCAGCATTATAGCATCAGAAAGGCATGTGTTTGTGGAAAGAAAAACTAACATTAGCTGCAATCAGAGCCAAAGTGGGTTTGAGCATCTTGGACAGGTGTTGATATGTTTTTGGATGAACAGTGTATTATTTTTTTTAGCATTGCTGTTAAGTCAGAAAGATTATTTTTGAACCTATCTGTCTTTAATTAATTTAAATACTGATTTTATAAAGGGCTTGTATATAAATAAACTTGATTGAAATTGATAATTTCTTAGGCAAGTCCATTCAAATTTAAAAATAATTTATTATCCCAAGGGGAAATAAAATGTTGCTGTAACTCATACATTATTTTTTAAAATAGCGTATGAGTTGTAGGTGTTGATTGCTGTAGGCAGGAAGGATCTTCTGTAGTGGTCTGTCTTGCAATGGATCTGGAGAAGCCTCTGACTGAAGACACTCTGTTGTTTAAAATAATTACTAAAGTGAATCTGTTTCACATTGGGAATCAAAAAAAATAAAAGGTCAAGTTTAAAATGTTTTATCAGACAGTTAAAGATTGAATAAAGCTGCTTTTTGTGGAATTTGTTAAGAAAAAATATATACCGGTATTTGAAATGATGCAATCAACCTGTTTTATTTGAAGAGTACTTTAATACAGTGAAATACAACACAGTGGGATTCCCAAATCTGAAGCATTTCACCATTTTCAAATATCGCAATCCAAAATGCTAAACTATCGAATGGTAAACAGAACTTCAATCAGACAATTCATAGAAATAATAGAAACAAATGTATTGATAGTAATTGCAATGTTATTCTTAAATACTAGGGAAAAACGATATAAAAAAAATATCCCCATTCTACAACAGTTTATGAGGTAAATTAGGCATATAACATAGAGATTAGGATGAAACAAATTTAAGTTTAAACTGCTATTAAAACAATGCGCGGCTGAGTGGCATAAATATATAAATTTTGTTTCATATAACAGTGTTGAATTTAACTGCCTAAAAAATGGGATTTAAAAACAGAAGAAAATAAAGACTCATCTGAGATGCACCACATGTATTAGAGCCGCTGAGGAGGGCTCTGTTGAATAGTTTTTATGACATGAAAATAGCGCTTAATTTCAAAGATGACTGCATGCAAATAACTTGCATAAAGCCTCTCCCTTCTTATGTCCTTGTGAACATTTCCCATTGACCAAGCAGCTGTTTTCACTTTCCTTTTGGATCTTAAGAGTCAGAATGAGAAAGTGTACTTTTTAGATATTTATTGTAAATTAAAGTAAAAGGGATTTTTCTTCCTACCAGCAACAAGATAATGTCTTTAAAGTTTGATTTAATGAGGATTTGAAAGGTTAGTGACACTGGAAGCAGCATAGTCTGGTGTATTTCTTCTTTGCTGCAGGATTCATGAATTTATACACTGGGCTGAGGTTTCAGTAAAACATCAGCCTTAATTTTTTCTTGCAAGAAGTCAGTTATGTCTTGTGGATAAAAGCTGACAATGAAATATAAATCTAAGGATCTTTAAAAAGTTTGGCTTCAGCCAGAGAACTGATGTGTTTCCAAAGATCTCCAACAAATGAGATAAAGTTTTAGAGCCTTTTATGTGAGAAAATAATTTTAAGCTAACATTAAATGACTAAAATTGGCTTTTTAAGGTTTAGATAAAAAAGTTTGTTCTCCTATTTGTTTGAAAAACAGTAATTTTGTCTAAATTTACAGTTTTACAGTATATAATTTTGAGATGAGCACAAAAAAAAATCTACCAAAACATGAATGTTTTCAGTTACAGCTTTATCCCACATGTTAGTGTTTCTTCTTAAAAAAAAAGAAGAAGAAATAATTGGGTCTGGTGAAACGTCATATTTGTTGAATATTTTCACAAAAGCATGATTAAAGCCATCTGCTTTTATTTTAAAACTCTTAAGCACTTCAAAGAGACTCTAAGAAGAATTAGACTTAAATCTGCCATATGATGAAAGTTTATAGTTTAGAGAATTTCTTGACATCCTTATTCAGTTGAACCCAGCTGCCCTGTTAACTCAGAATATCTCTGATCTGTTCAGGTGCTGATGTTGACCCGATAGAAGGATCTCCACGAGTTTCAGCTGAGCGCCTCAGAGTCTTACCTGTCCCTGTAGAGCCTTTCCTCAAGCATCTACCTGTGATGGAAACAGGAGAGGCAGGTCCACCTGGACAAATGACGTCTGATTTGCCTAAACGGATGGACGCCAACGTGATGTCTGTTCAGGGATACGCTGGAGCTCCAGGTAAAAACAGTTACGTAACATTTTCCTGCATGCAAGGATGCATACCATTTATTTTTCAATCTTTGTTTTTATCCAAAGCTTCCCCTGTTACCTCCACTGAGTCCTTAAACACCAATGTGCCTCTAATAACAGGTAACATTTATATCGCTGGTTTATGTTCAACCAGAACTAAGCATAGGACTGTTAATATTTCTATTTAATCGACAGATGTGAGTAAGCCTCAAAGATCTCCAAAACAGAAAAGTAGCACAGCTCCAGGTCAGATTAACTCCATTATTTTAGAGTCTGAATCTGTTAGGATCATGTTTGCTTATATCCATCGTTTCTTGTCTTTGTCCCCAGGTGAGAAGGTCTCCTTCTCAGCCGGTCTGACTCCCCCGATCCAAGGTGAACTTGGAATAATCCGATTCAACAAGGTTCTGGTCAATGATGGAGGACATTATGACCCTAATACAGGTAGATTAACACACTATTTAAAAGGGGTAAAACAAAATACAACCCCCCCCTTTATTTTGTTAAAGAAAGGCTAGACATACCGTAGGTACATTTGAAAATCTTTTAATTTTGATGATTTTAATATTCTAAAGAGTCTCTATTTCACTTTAAAACACACATAAAGCTAATTTGAACTGCATTTTTAAATTTTTCCAACTATTGAGGAATGTCTAGTGATCTATATTTGACTAAAAAGAATTAAATGTGTTGGAAAAACTAACAGCAACCAGCCTTGTTAACACACTTCCCTTTAAAGTAATCTAGTACAATTCCATCTTTTGAAACCTTTTGGATTAAATTAGGATGGGGCTTTGCATATTAATTTCCATATTTTGATTGATCAAATCTCCAGGTACATCCTGCTATCTACCGGAATGTCTTCAATCATGAGTTTGCATTCAAAATGAATGAAAATATGACAGTAATTTACACTGGATTTCAGGTGTAAAAAATATAATATATATGAGGATGGATGATAATTTCTGGGACATTTCCAGTTTTAATTGCTAATCAACTGGATCATGAAGGTCTCAACAGTTGGAAAGAAAAAATAAATTATGTTTAGTCCTCAAACTAAATTTTGCAGATGGCCCTCTTCTATCCCACGCCTACCAGAAAGCAGAACATAAATTGAACAGATATTTACCACCAAGCAGGTCTTAATATCAACAAAGTAAAGACTGAGATCAATTACAATAACACCTGAATTAACGAACACTTCTCCAATTTATTGTATTAATTTTATTACTAGCGGTGGGTATAGATTAATTAATCTAGAGTAATTTCACTGTAATCTTGGAATTAATCTAGATTATTGTAGATTAAAAACAAAGTGTGACAGTGTAAATAATAAGTAAAAGTAAGTCTTTGAACAGGTTTCTAAAGCTAGGTGGCGCGTTAGACCAGAGGCTCATCTCCTGTTATCAAAATACATCACAAACTGCTTGAGAAAGCTTTTCTACTGTAATAACTGGTGATGAAAATAAATAGTATTCAATAATGTGTATTTGTGTTTAATAACTGTTTATTCAGATAAACAATAATTCTGAACTGCAGGCCTACATAATAGGTCATAATGAAGTGTTTACAGCCAGTAGGTTTCTGTCAGTCAGTCTAAGCTCTATTTCTCCTTTTTCCACCAGTCACTTTGGTGGACCAACTTTGAGGCAACAGTGTTTGAGGATAATACTAAAATCTGTGTTTAGAATGTCAACTGTGATGTAAAGATCCCGAGGTTTTTAAAAAAAAAGCATCATATGAAACTTTGGTTCTAGAAATGATATAGGCTAAATAAATACCACAGTAGCTACATTTTCAAAAAGTGTCCCACTTTACATACATTCACCAAAGCTATCATCCAGAAGCAAGCATAATGTTGTGGTAATCATCCGTGGTGTCTTGCTAAAATGAAATAAAAATTTACACAACATAGCCTACCTAAAGTGAAGGAGTGAAGTTCCCAGCTGGCATCAGTGAGGTGTACGGTGATGCCGAGGTAGTTATCATTATTCACAGATGTCCAGTGATGCACCTTTTAGTGCTAAAATGTTACCTTACTAACTTCTCATGTTTCACGGCTTTCTCCATGGGGTGAATAATAACACCGATAGCTGGTGGCAATCCACTAAGTGAGGAAATTGATTAGCTTGGCTGATAGAGCTGTGCTGGTGGGCTTGTCTGGGTTGCATTCAAACAGTGTAGTTTGACAAACATAACTCTTTGCTTGCACTACATCAGTACTTGGCCTGGCATCTTCCACATAGACTAAGGGTTTCTTTCCGTTTAGGCGGTTGCGTTCAAGGTTTCCTTTGGGGATCTTCAAAATAAATTTTCCCTGAAGCAAACCCAGTGTTTTTATAGCTTCATTCATGTTTAATGTGGTCATTTCACAGTACAAACACACATGTTGGAAAACTGGTTTCGTCACACCCCCAGATATACATCCGTGCTAAAATATCAAGGTAAAAGTCATCAAAGCTTACTTAGTATAGACCCACCTCCCAAGCCAACTGTGAGAATAGATTAAAGGCGATATTTTTTTAATCGCCCGATAAGAGTCTGGCCCACTACTATTCATTACTATTATTGACTGAACACACCAAGCATTTGGGTATCTGGAGATCTGCACTTTCTTACAATGAGGCATTCAAACTTTTACATTTAATTCACTTCACTGTTTTTATATAAATCAAATTTTATAAAACATAATCTTTAGGCACTTTAGAATAATAAAAAAAGTAGGGATGCACGACATAATCGGCCCCCTATCGATATCGGCCTGTATCGGCCTTAAAACTGAATATTGGACATCGGCCACCCCACCGATATTTAACCCGATATTTGATCAGCTTCTGAGTTTCTAAAGTCTAAAAAAAAAAATAAATACTACTTCTTCTTCTTCCTCAAAAACTTCTTTTTTACAGACTTAAAAACTTCTAAAGACGAGGGAAAAAATATGGATACATTAAAATATCACAATATCTTCATATGCTGATATATTGCCATTTAAAAACACCATATCAATCTCTTTTACTAATGAAATATTGCTATATGTCATCGTTATGCTACGAAATCCCCCGAAAATTCACGAAATTTTGCTATATTTTTATATGTTGATATATTGAGGCGGTATCGATCTATTTTACTAACAAAATTTGCAAAATATCACGAGAGTTTGTAACAGAACGATGAAATTTCACGAGATTTTGAAAGTAAAATAGATCGATACCGCGTTTTTAAAAATCCATTTGATATCAGCATATGAAAATATATTTGAGTATATTATTTTTCAAAGTGTCAGAAATGGATAACAAAACTGCTATTTTCAATGACTACTTATTTTTGTCCAGCTTTAACATCGGTATCGATATCGGTTATCGGCTACATGAGTTTTAAAATATCGGCATATCGGATATCGGCCAAAATCCCAATATCGTGCAAGCTAAAGAAAAGTTGTGTGTTTGTATTTCAATTACTACTGTGAAATTGGTGATCTTATGTGGAGTTGAGATTTAAAGGACAACAGCAGTAAAACACAAAAAGAAAGCAACCTTCATGAACATCTGCATCCCAAAGATGCTGTACAATAAATGTCTGGCTCAAATTAACAGCTGCAACAGCAATGACAAAAAAAACCCAAAACAGCTGCCTACTGTATAGAAGATCCTATTCTCAAGAGACTCAATAGATCAGCCATACTCCATGCAAGCTCACTAATGACATCAGCAGGAAAGCTCGGACCCGAAACCCTATGGAGAACAGCACAGCCTCGAAACATCTGGCAAAGTAATTGAGGAAACACCAAGAGGTCAGATTGCATTTGGAACGGAATGGAAAAGAGGATGCAGGGTAGAGGATTCATGGTGTTTTTGGTAGGGGGTTACTACGAGGGCATACAGAGGTTTTGTCTTATTTCATCTTGTTTTTTGGTCCAGGTGTTTAGTTGCATCAATATAGACAAAATTGGAGACTTAGAAAATGTTCTGGGTTCTTTTCTTACCTCCTGGATGTGTCATTGATGAGCTCCTAGAGCCACTTTGGTAGGTTTCTTAGTCCAACACCAATCGTAAGGTTGGCTTGGATAGGTTCTTTCGCCCTTAAAAGAAATCATTATTTGAAAAAGGTTTTTGTTATATATTCAATATTTTTCTTTGTCTAATTTTAAACTTTATCCTCCAAAAAAGTAGACAAAGATTAAAAACAACAACAACAAAAAAAAGGAAATGGCACTGTTTAATAAAGCCGTAAGAATTAACCTTTGGAGAAAACCAAAAGTCACCAGTACATGCGCTAAACTTAATACAAAATAAGTAAAAGATGATCGATTAAAGAGCAAAGTAAGAGATCTCACTGGTCACTGGCATATCAGAAGAGAAAGAAGATATATATATATATATATATATATATATATATATATATATATATGCCAGTGACCAGTGAGATCTCTTACTTTGCTCTTTAATCGATCATCTCTGAAAGTATAATTGGTGTTTTTTATCGCGTAATAGTCTATATTTTATTCCTGTAGATTTCAAAACATGAAAACATGATTACTCTAACAATCTGCCTTTAGTTTACCAGCTGGTGATTTTAGATCTTCTTTCTAACTGAGAGCAAAGAAAAATGTATCTTGTTAATCCTTGATCAATACTGCAACTCATCTCTGCTTTGGCTTAAAAGAAACATCACAGAAGTTGGGAACTTTCCTCAATAACGAAGAGCCTCTCTATTTTCCAGGCCTTTTCACTGCTCCAATAGATGGTCGCTACCTGGTGACAGCTGTGCTTGCTGCCCAGAGAGGCCAGAATGTCAAGGCTGTGCTGTCTGTGTCCAACAACAGCATTCAGATTCTGGATTCTGCAGGCTTCTCCTCTGAGGCCACAGCGCTGTCTCAAGAACGATGCAGCTGCAGCGGCTTGACGTCACTGAGTCTGGTTCTTTCGATGAAGCCAGGAGATCGAATGGGGATCATTCTGACCGATGGGAAACTTGCCATCTCTGACTCCACACAGACCTTGTCATCTTTTAGTGCTGTGTTACTGTACAACAGCCCCATTACACTGTAGCTTGTGTGGCTTTCTGCAACACCAACAGCTGAGATCAAGCATAAGTAGTTTTTAATTAAGTTATCATAAAATGGTAATGCTGTATTTAAATCAAGTGCAAAGAGTTGAAAACCTGTAAATAAAATGGTCTGCATTAAGGGCCTGATCTAGTATCATCTTAAATAAAGAGGGCTAAAACTGCTTGTGCAAAAACAGAAAAAAGTATGTTTAAATAGTGGACGTATTTCAGAGGAATTACTAACATTGCATGTGCAATTGAAAGCGGGTGCAAAAGTGGTGCAAACATTCCTATTCTAAAGAGGTTTTTGCATCTGATACTGGCTGTCCATTAGAGAGTTTGGGACAGCGGAGTGGATTTATTTAGCTGGTTCCAAAGGCAGGCGCAATCTGCAGCAGTACCCCACACAGATTGCCTCTATGATCACTGTGTGGAGAAGATGCAGGCAGTTTGGAAGTTAAAAGATCTTTGTTAATTTGAAAAAAAAAAAATACTTTTGAGAAATGAACATGATATATTAGCACCTGACATTTGGATTATTCTGACTGTCGGAAAAGGCCAAGGTCATTGCTTAATTTCTTGAATCCACCCTTCTGATAAATAAAGAATTTACTATAAAGACAGTAACAGTTTGCAATTTTAAAACAATGACACAGAAGAGAAACTCCTTTTCTCTCATTGTTGATCATCATGCCTAATACACAACATGATTAATCTAACGGAAGGTGAAAGTCGCTGCTGCATATTTGTAATTTTCAGTGGCTACAAGATAATATTTCATAAATGAAAATTTACTACCCATTAAACACCCGCCACTAATCTCTAAATTGGCGAACAGAAAAACTTTTTTTTAGGGGATGCCACTCACTGCAGTGGTTTGAAGGAATGATCCACTCAGACAAAACATGCTGTGCTGCAATGCGTGTTTTCATAGGATAGTAACTCAAAAACAGTTTTGATCGATATGCAATTTCTGACAGCCCATAAATATTGATGACTGCCTGTAGGATTATCTCCCTCTGTCGCCTGTAACTGCACCTATGCCTTCTTCTTGCCATAATTACAGAGAACATTGTTGCATGCCAATTTGCACTTGCAATACAAATTCTACACAGAAAATGTGCCTGCAGTTTGATTCAAGTTTGATCAGTTGCTTGGTTACTAGCTTTGAACGCTACAAAGTTTGCACATGTAAACTTTTTTTGTAAACACAAACCTTTAGTACTGTAGATCAGGCCCTTTAAAGGAAAAGTCCGGTCAGAGTCTGGGAGCAGCCATTTATGTCCAAATATAGTAACACCTCACTCATGACATCTTCCGGCAGTGATGTCACGGTGCGGTAAGCCTAGCGCCATTCTCTCCGCTTTACAAGCAAAATCAATGGGAACTAATAGACAAATCTGCAATCAACAACACTTATTTTAGATTTCGAGAGGACTTCATCTTTGAAATTTGTGAGAACTATTGTTAAAGTGAGAATGGCCACATGCATGGCATTTAGATGTTGCAATACATTGGGTAAAAGTGAAAAAAAATTAGTTACTTCACCTTTCCCATTTATGATCTATGAGTTTGTTGTTGGATTGCCATCTTGAAGAGAGAGGATTTTCCATCAAACTTGTGGCCAGAGAAAAAAAAATGTAACATGTAGCCAACATTTTGAAGAGGAGTGTTTTCAATATGACTTGGATAATAGCCTGTGTGGCAAACACCAGATAGAGCATTGGGACTTGATCAACAGCCGATACCGCACTGTGACGTCATAAACTGGGTAGGTGACAGTAGTGTTCTTTGACAAACATGGATGTCTCTGGTAAATCCCATTCAAATAAAATTACTCTTAATTAAAAACACTTATCATTTATTGAACAGTATGTAATAGCTTTATATTTAAAGTACTTTCAGAAGTTTGAATTCTGAATATGACCGGACTTTTCCTTTAAGTACTAATATATATGTTTGACCTTCTTTTTTTTTTGCTTTAAGAGTTTAAGAGAATACAAAACACACAAAAAATACTTCTAGTAATTTTAAAAGCAGCCTTTTTATTTAACGCTCTTTCAAGATATGTTTTCACCATTTAATAATAAAATGGCACAGAAAAACGAAGCGTACTATCTATCCTTAAAATATGTACAGCCCATACAGTTTAATGCATTTTTGTTTGTTTTTTTGATTTCATTCTAGCAATAAAAAACTGGGTACCCACAAGTTGGTTTGAGAAATCTATAGAAACAACCTTACAGTAGCTAAGATCCTTTATTGGATAATAAAAGTAAAGTTTCATAAAACTATTATAAATATAAGTGTGGCCTCTTCACACAAAGTTTTACTTTCACAGAAAGAATGCTATCAATTGTAGATAGTTGTTACTAATAACAGTATATCCTCAAGAAGAATCTGGCAAAAAGAAATAAAAACTAGTGCCCTTAATCAAAAAAGAACAGTGAACCCTGAGTATAACTATAGATTTACAGAAATATTTATCAACTAGCATACTAGAGTATACAATCATTTGTTTGAAAAAAAAACAAAATTAATGCAGTTTCATAAATCTAATTGCATCCTGTTTTTCCTTCTCAGCGCATCAGTTGGAACAAAAAGTAAGGCCTTAAGGGGACTGTTAACTCTTATAATGTCTTTACAACAGTGCTTAGATTACGACAGAGTATTAGGGCCAGGCTAGAGATTTTTTTTTTCGAGAATAAAGCCGTAATATGAGAATAAACTCAAAACATTACGAGAATAAATTAGCAACGAGAATAGTCAAAAAATTAGGAGAATAAAGTCACAACGAGAATAGTCATTAAATTATGAGAATAAAGTCGTAACATTTCAACAATAAAGTTGTAAAATAACAAGAATAAAGTCGCAAAATAACGTGAATAAAATCATAATATTATGAGAATAAAGTCCAACTATTATGAGAATAAATCATATTGGGCAGTATGTCAAAGTGAACTGAGGTTGTTGTTTGGTGGATCTGGTCGGCCGTCATATACTGGTCGGAGCTTGAACCTTTTTTACTGAAACGGGTTGTGGTATGATGAGTTCATTCTCGTAATATTACAAATTTATTCTCGAAATAAAAAGAAAATAAAAATCTCTAGCCACCCCCTAATACTCCGTCGCACTTAGATAGCTTAGCTGTATCATAAAGTCATTTTAGTAAATGTTTATGTGCACAATTTGGCACCAAATATTTTTTCTTGGAAACAGAAAAGTGCAACAACAGAAAAGTATTACCTTTTTTTTTAACTTTGTAAACATCTGATCACAGATTAATAATAGAAATCTGTGTGAAAAGCTCATAAGCATTTTTAATTTACAAGACCAAAGCACAGTCTTTACACCAAAATGATCTCTAATCGAGCTCATGAATCAGATGTTGGGGTGCAATTAGAAGTACAACAGTATGACATTCCTGATTATGGGTTTAACTGTCAGGCTAACTGTCATATGTTGCTTTGTTATTATTATTTGCATAAAGAAACAGTGCAGGAAAAAAAATTAAGTGGAACATATTCTTCTCAAAAAGTTTGTTAGTCTGAATATTTCAGTGCAGCAAGCAAGGTGCAGAGAAACAATATGATTCTAAGGAAAATCAGCTCATTTTAACGTGTTAAATACTGATTGCTGTAAAAACTCCAACCGTCCATCTGTCCAAAGTAGAAACATCTTGAATGAATTAGCTTTAGACTTTGAATTTATACTCAAAATTTGGCTAAAATGAATCGGTAGCCCGAGAAAATTAGGCTTTAAATGTACAGTATGCAGTTTTGACAAAAAATTTGCATATAGTGGTTTTTTTTTAAAGTAAAGCCAACTTCTATTGCTTCATATTTGATCTATATTTAGAAATTCCTCTCTAGGTGTATGACACAGAAAAGCTGTAATTTCCTGAAGACTCTAAATGTAACATAACATGCTTCATTCTGATTGGTTGGTTTAGTTGGACTCAATCAGCTGAAGAATATGTAAAATTGAGTTTTACATAGAGATTTCTGATTTCTACCTATGTTCAAATGTCAAAGAATAAATATTCACCGGTGTTGCATGAACCTCCATCTATGTGGCATCTAACTCCATGGTTTTCTCCTAAAGAATGTTTAATTTAAAGTTATTTCTGTGCAATCTGTGTGCAAACATATTATGTGTGGTTTAAGCATTAAATACTGCAAACTACTGACCCTACTGCATAATTCGAGATTTAGGAATATAAAAATATATCCCTGATATATCAGCTACATCAGAAAAAAAGTTCAAGATGCTATGTTAGCAGCCTGTAAGTTAAGGAATTAAATCAGTGCATTCTTGAATTTACAGCAGCTCCTCGAAGCACACCTCTGCGATCGGCTGCCTCCAGTAACAGAAGGAGCTGAAGTCCGGACAGCTGAAGGTGGCGCAGTGCTGAGTGCTTCGCAATGGGAAAACATGCTCCACCAGCTCACTCAGCCTGCTGTAACTGTCACATTAATATTTGTGTATTACAAATGGGCAACACAAGGGAGACTTTCAAACATTTGTAACAGCTGACAAACATAAAGTCTGTGGTCGTTACTTACGAGGTTTTATTGCCTTTGGATTGCTCAAGAATCAACTCCCCCTTAGGATTCACTGTGAATATCCGACATGCAGGCACACCCACTTGTTTGTAGGCAAACACGTCCTTATGAGGTAATGAAACACAAAAGGAAGAGGGGTTATTTTCACAAAGTAAAGAAACTCTTAACTCTTACTTTCCAACAATGCAGGAACCAAAATAAGGTAACTCACATTTTCCCTGTTTCCAAAGGCAGCATAGAAAGGTTGACTGTTAAGGTGGAAGAGGTTCTTGATGTCTGTTAGGCATTCGATCTTGAACTTCTCAGGTTTTTTCTCAATTACCTCTCTTAAGGGAAAAAAGTAGAAGAGATGAATCCTCTGAAATTCTAGTATTAACACTAAATTCTGATTTAAACAAAGTTGTAATTTACACATAATTATATCTATATATATAGGACAATATTCTGACGCAGATGCAGGTCTTATCTCTGTTAAATTCTGCTCACTCTAGAGAGAGGCTGAGGATTTCTCACCTGTGGAAGGCAGAGAACAGGCTGCTGGGTGAGAGCATGAGAGGTCCCTGAGGAAGGAGAGTGCCGCTGTCGTTCACCCAGTGCAAGTACCCCCGGGTCATGTCGGCCATGCCGATGGCTCGCGCCGAGCAGTACAGGAACTTGTAGCCGTTCCTGCAACAGTTAGATGCTCAGTGGCTAAGTTGGTTCAGTTCGATGTTTTTATGAAAGGACGGAGGCAGATGATGGGTCTTACTCATGCACTGAATTATAAAGTTTGGCGATTCCACGATGAGTCCAGTCTTTGCCAAGTTGGGGGAGAATCTGACCAAAAACATCAGATCTATGAAGAGAATGTGAGAGGTCAAATGTTTGTATGGCTAGGTTTCCTTTCACGACAGAAAGTGCAACAACGTTCAGCTATGAATACTTTTGAAGGCCACATTTTCTAAATGGGGCTGTGTATCAATAAACATTTCTAGACTTGATTCAATTGCGATTTTCAAGATTTTGAATAGAGTCTTGTCTGATCTCAAACTGGACAGCTGGTATTGAAAACACGTTTTTAGCCGATACCGGAATTACTTGACGGAATTTATGCCCCATATTGATACTAATGATATATTAGCGTTTTCCAGCAAATCTGGAAGCAATGGTAGTTTATTGTGGCTGAATGGACAGAGTACCTTTTTATCTACCTTATTTGAACTGCTTTTTAGGAATTAATATGAGAATTTATCCAGAATAAAAAAATGTATCTCTTTTTAACAAAGCCCTATTTTTAAAGTCAGACTAATTTCATTTATTTTTTAATAGATTAGAGTTTCACTGACTACTTAGCAGGTGACTAGATCCAGCCTATCTTGGAATGGAAGTATACACAAATACTTTACAAATCTGTGAATGCATAAACAATCTAAACAGCTAATCCAAGCAAATAACTGCATATTAATTATGTGTATATCGGATTATTTTAAATTCGATTGGTTTGACCAATGATTGGCCAATCAGAAGAACTACATTTTTGTTTTAAAATCTGTTAAATCACCACTTAATTGTGAAGATTTTACTAAGTAAAGATAACTCAAACCTATTTCAAATAGTTTCTCAATATTAAGTTGAGGAATACACAAGGGATGCTAGAGCAGAAGCAGGCGATCAATCTTAGCCAAAGGAAACAGGTTTGAAGCTGGAGCTCAAATAGTACATTGGAAGTACAGTTAAATAATATTTTTATGAGCTGATAGTCGTTATAAAAATCATGTAAAAAAAAAAAAATATGTAAAAATGTTTTTGTATTTTGTTACACATTACATTTAATCACCTAAATACAATCGTTGATCCCTGAACAGGAATTCTGTCACCTATGGATGCTCTTTTTAGCATTCTGGTACCTTCATCAGTGGCAGGAGCTGAATCTGCTGCAGTTAGACACAATGCAACAGGCTAAATAGCTTACTGATATGCAAAGTGTGCATACAGTACATGAGTACTGGAAATTACAACCATAATATGTCACATTTTAAATTGTCGTCCGACTATTGTTTAAAGTTCACACATGTTAAGAAGCTAAGGTATTTATACATCTTGTCTTAGTGCTGTGGGAAAACATGGAGGTGTAGTAAACTTCTTCAGGGGAGGGATTTTTTTTTTGTTTGCTTATTATTTCGATTATATGACCTTTGAAAAACAGTCAGCCTAAATTCGAAATGAAAAATGACTAGACGCTGTCAGTTATTGTTCCTCAATGGAATTTAAAGCTATTCAAAACAAAAATTAGAAGTTTCAGACAGTCACAGGATGTGGAAATCAGAAATGTTCCAGCTAACCGTAACCCATGCATCACTCTTTAGAAAGATTATGTTCTTTACTATATTTTAAACTGCTTTTCCAAAAATTACATAAAAACAAACAGAGAAGTATAGTGTGGATATTTCCCGTACTTGGTGATGGTGCCATCTATGTCAGAGATGATGACCTTGTCATCCCAGTTCCACAGGTAGATGGTGCCCTCGCAGCGACACGTTCCCTGATACTGAGTGGTTATGCTGAATGTGACGTCATTTGGTCCATCTCTCAGCTTCAGGCTAGCCTGTAAAAAGACGCAAAACAAAGACGGGTTCACAAACTGAAAAATACAAAATTTACAGACGAAGCTCATGTTTATGGAGCCAAAGATTAGAGTAACCAGGAGCAGAAAGCCTTTACTGCCAAATGGTGTTTTACACGTACAAGGAATTTCGAAGGAATTAGATAAAGCATTACGGATTAAGAAACATATGGCTACATTAATGAACTTGGAAATATATAATGTTGAATGAACAAATTCAAGTGGATAAGAAATACTACAAGAACAGAGAAAAGTTGTGCAACTTTTTTGCTGAGGAAGAGCCCTATGGCAGTGATAAAAAATATACAACAGGTAGTAAAATGAAAAGTATTTATATGTGTGGAGATATTTGAGATATTTGTATTATTTACAAAACTGCATAGTAGCAATAACAGTAATTAACATCAAAACGCTGTTTCCGTCTAACTGACACCGTTTGCACCGTTAAACTTACGATCTGATCAGACGACAGGCGGAGGGATTTCCTGTAGGAGTGACATGGAGCCGTGCCTTCTGCTCGCAGGCGTTCAGTAGGTTTAAGACCTGGCTCTGCACCATTCAGCTCTTTGGTCTCCTCATCACTGGACCACTCTGGAGCCTTCTGCCTACATGACATGGACCGTAAAACAATTCTGGTGAGAAGTTGAGACATTACATTACATACACACTCCGCTGCGTTTTTAAAAGATATAAATATAAAAAATATACCCGCGGATGTCTGGGGCACAGTGATTCGCCTACATGTTATGAATGCTGGCGTACCATAAAGAATAAATTATGAACAGTTCAGTGTGTACCTTCAAGTTGTTTGCTCATAGGAAGACGTTACTTGGATATAACCTGACGGAATATCTTCAGAACAGCTCCAAATGACACAAAACTCATATGGGTGAGTAGAACATGATGTAACGTAAAATCAAGGCCCCAATGTAAAAAAAACGGCATTCCCCTTTAAGCTAGAATGAGGAGAGGAGCCTGTTATTGGTTAAATATCGTTTAATTGTTATTTTCATTTTATTTGCATGTTGAGAATGGTTTCAAAAGTATTTCTGATTTTGTGTTTTTGTGTATATATTTGAGCCTCTATGCAGAATTCTGACCTGTAGTGTATTAAAAAATGAAACAAATCTTGTTTTGAAGTCATCTTTGCTAGGGTTACTTTTGTTTTGTTTTTTGTGTTTTTTTGCATAAGCATTCCATGCTGATGATCAGGATTACACTCTGCTTAGTGTAAAATCAGATCAAGTTGCAGTGTCTCTTCCAGCCACCAGATGGCAGCACATTTACTCATCTATGTTCAACTCATTCGATCTCTTCTATTCAAAACAGCAAAGGTGTATTTAATTACATATCAGGTTTACAAACTGAACACCTTTCCCTAATAGTGATGAGTTGTGTGTGTTTAATCATCTATTCTTCATATCTTTGTGTCTTAGCTACTTAATGAGTTTATTGGTCATGTGTTTATAAGTCACAAGACCTCAGGACTGACTAATATGCTAATCCATCCTCTGAGGGACATGTTTACCAAGGAAGGCTCATGTTGTTTTGTTATTGCAGAGTTGCTAGGACTTTGAATGCAGGCCGGTTGCTGACTCACTGTGTTTCTGGGGCCCGGAGTGCAGGACTCTCTCTGCTCACTGACTCCTGTCTCTCCAATTTGCTCTCAGTTGATAACTAAGCAGAGGAAAAAGATTACATAAATATTTAAAAAGAGAGAGAAAATAAAGTGTTTGTCTGACGAGATAAAGTCTGTTTATAATAATATAAAACAAAGATGAAACATGCTACTGAGGCTTTTGAGTAACATGTTCCTCATTTGCAATGCAAACTGGAACTCCACATGAGTGAGTCATTAGGCTGCACAATCAGATATGCTGGAGTGTCCACCTGCTTTGTGCTGCTCTTCCTCCAGAACCACCAGCGTCCAGACTTCTTGGGCATTTTCTCCTTCACCCAGGCCTCTTCTGTATTCTGCAGTAAAAAAAAAAAAAAAAAGTTATGAGCAACTATCCTTCAAGCAGCTCAAGTTAAACACATAATTAAGCAGAATACCTTCGGCAGGTTTTTCTGGAAAGCTTGCATGCTGAGAATCAAAGGTGCCACTAGAGTCCAGTTGTAATATCTGAAAAAATAGAGATAATTTTAAGCCTAATCTTTAGATGTTAAGAAAAAATATGAATTTATGATGTTTGTTGAATTAATGAGACTCGCCTGTTTCCAATTCTAACCACCAAGTTTGGATTGTCGATAATTGCTGGATTCTCTGCAAAGTCATTGTAGGTGATCATGTGCTCCATGAATTTTTCTACATAAAAATGAAGAGATGTTTAGCCAACAGTGCATTATACAAATTATAGGAGACACCATATCAAAAGAATGCCTAGTACAGTAAAGTCCAGCTTTGATAACCTTTGAAAGCAAATTCTTCCAAGATCATAGGTTATACTCCCTATAACCTAGACTTCAAGAAATGTATCCTACACATTTATTGACACATTTGCATTAGAGATCTGATGACGAATGCAAACTTGTCAAGTAATCTAGTAGTCGATTAATTGTGGCGTATACAGACTATAAATGTGCCATTTGCTGAAGGAACAATCAACTCCGAGCAGAATTTAAGCCAATAATACACAAAATATTTATAAATGTTATTTTAAACATGAAAAAATTTCTTTATCATTAACTACTCACATAACACAGTCGGAGAAAAACAAAAAAACAACTTTGTTCAACTTTGTCCAATCCAAAAATATTTTTTTCTTGCTATAGTAAACATATCGTTGATTCTCTGTCCTTGAGAGGAAGTGGAAGAACAAACGATCAAATGTGGGCCAAGAAAAACTACCCTGGTTGCTGATGAAAACTGAAACACAAATATTTTATGATAAAGACAATCAGTCACCTTTTGGGATCTCTGAGTTCTCGCCCACGCCTCCACACAGCGATAGCGTCACATCAGGCAGGTCACTTGGAGAGTCGGACAGACACTCTGTGCCACTGTCTGCTGCTGCACTCCCCACTGACTGGGGCGACTGGGATCCAGAGCTCCGTCCCGTCTCCACCCAGTTCTTTGATACTTGCTCACACTCACTGCGATATGGATAATTATATAAGTTAATGCTGGCTGATGATAATGCTTGTTAAATACACCAAAAACCCTGAGAGCTGCATTGAAAGCTGAGTTTCCCACCTTTTTGGGAAGTACCGAGCAGCAACATCAGGCTCAAGAGCGCTCAGGTCTTCTAGGTATATATCTTCAGGCCCTTGGTGTTGGCTCCTCTTCCTCACAACTTTTCCAAAAAAGAAAATCAGCAGTGTTTCAATAGAAATGACTGACTTCATCGGGTTTCACTTCCTTTGTCTTTTTTGTTTTTGACTTCTGCATGTGAACGTAGAGGAGGCCCAAATACAGAGTGTGAACCGAGGGCCCAAACAGTAACCACATCCTGCCTGATAACAGCCGCTTACATTCAGAATGGATGTAGATGTCGTCTCATACAGAAATATGAAGGAAACTCGAACCATTCAGTGAAGTTTAAACCCCTGAGACAGAAAGATAGTTACCTTTTCTTTTCACAGGTGAGTCTGTGGTCTTAGATGAGGCTTTAGTATCAGGACCACCAGTCAAAAGATCTCCAGCTTCTTTGCTTCTTGTACCAGGAGCAGAAATGCTGTTCCTGCGATTTGGAGGTGAAGATGTCCACTTTGGCTTTCGCTCATTTTTTGAGCTTGAGTCTGAAATTGTTGGAGTTGTGTCAGAGGAAAAGCTACTCGACTTCAAAACTGAAAAGTCGTGCTTTGGTCCAGTGGTGTTTGCACTGTTTGATTCAGGAGGCTGAGGGCTGCAGCTGCACTGATGAGGTTTAACCATCCGAGGTTCTGGCTTCACAATATTACAAGCAGGCTCTGGTGAGCTCTGCTTTATGATTGGCTCTTCTTCCAAGTCCTCAGAGCTCAGAATGACCCTGAAATGTGTGCTCTCTGATGGGGTGATGCACAGCGTTTTTGTCTCAGGCTTTTTGTTGACCTGGACACAGTAAAGGAAGGTAAACCATGTCAATATTTCTTGTTAAAAGCCGCTTTAAGTCAACCTTTTTTATTGGTGTGAGCATGAATTATGTTCAAATGTTATGACCCGTACCCTTGTTGATTCAGGAAGCTCCCCCCAGCTCCACTGCATGTGGGACTCAGACCTGAACATGCTCTCTGTCGGCTTCACCATCAACTCAGAGTCACTTTTGGGCGACGCTGGCTCACACAAATTACTAAAGTAAGCAAAAAACACACATTTCCACTGAGTCAGCTTCAAGGTCTTAAAGTAAGAGTCTTCTTTCTTTAATTTTCCTGTTCTTTTTAAAGTTATACACAACTATTTCCATGTTTAACAGTAAAGCAACACAAATTAGTAAATGATTGTGAGGTTAAAAAAAAAATCCTAATGCAATTTAAAGTATCTCAGAAATATGATGAAAGCTCTGTAAAAACCATTTTGGGTAATGCACTTAGCTTCTCCCATATACAGGCTGTTTTTTGTCTATTTTTCTTACTCTGATTTGATTTAGAGGATCAGTAAACCTCAATTTTTCAAGTCAATTTATATGTTTTCTGCAGATGTTTTATGTTTATTGCAGAAATGGTACAGAGGTAAAGATTGGGACCCACATGTGGAGGCATTAGTCTCGACCTGTGGACCTTTACTGCATGCCTTCCCCATCTATTTCAACACCATTTCCTGTCAGCAAAGCTTTCATATAAAAGGGCACTGGGGGCCAAGTAAAGAATTCTGTAAAAAAAACCCACTAAAAGCTTGAGTTAGTCACACATTGTTTTGCATGTAGGTGTAAAACTTTACTATTGATAACTTCTGATTAGAACACCTTCCTCCATGCCTTCTCTGACCACATATTACTTTCAGACATTGCTTTCTCCTGGCCTTAAAGGCTAGATGTGAGGTTCATACATAATTGCTGTTCTAACATAAACATTCTTCCACAGGAGCAGCGGATCTCTGCAGCTCACCCAGAGTCACTAAGGGGCTTTTAGCTGCTTTTCTGATTAACATCTGATTGACGCATTTGATGCAAAGTTAAAATTGCAAACAGGTGTGGTTTACCCTTTCCCTTCACCCTCACAATTTGTTATGTTCTACCTCATACGTTTTAACTTAAATATTTGTTGTGATAAGACAACTGGCCTGATCTTCACAGGGTTTGCATTTCCTAAAACAGCTTTAAACATGTTCATACACTCAGAGCAGATCTTCAAAGAAGGTGCAAAGCGGTTTGCTTTTTCAATTCAAGAGCCTTCATTGATATGCAGATCATATTCTAAAGAACAAATTGCACAAATTCTTGGATGGAGGAAATGCAAAAGTCAACATTCACCTCATTCAAAACAATTTTCCTAATCAGAAACTCAACTACTGTTGCAATTTTTTTAACCAAATCGGTCTGAACATGTTGACATTTGCGAAGTGGTCTTTTTAAATCACCCACAACACTCCAACTTATTGCACATACTAAAAAATAATTGTAGGTAAATTTTAGCTCCACCTAATCTGAATCTTTGAAGATCAGGTCCAAAGTGTGAAAAATGTCAGAAGGAATACAACTTTTTCCATGCAGTGTAACAAAACACATAAGCTGAGAAGTTCATACAAGGGGCAGGGAGACCAGTCTCCATCAGAAAAAGGGTAGCTGTCCCATTCCAAGGCGGTGAGAGGAGAGTGCTGCCTCTGCTCCATGTTATCCTTCATCCCCGACAGGGATGATGCTCTAAATAAAAATACATAATAATTAATAGGATCGTAACTATATATTGTCACTAAACGGCACAGTTTAGGTTACGCTCACCTTCCGCTGTTTGCATGCTGCTCCTCATCTGAACTGCACTCACACACCTCCTGCTCTGCTCCTGCACATGTCTGCTCCTCCTTGCGTGGCTCAGTTTTGTGCCTCCTTCGTCGACGCCTCTTCTTCCTTCCAGATGAGCTTGAGCAAAGTTGATGGTTTGTTGAGTCCGGCTCTAGGACAAGGGGCTGACAGGTCTCTGCTGATGCTGCACATCTGGCTTCTCTGTTCCTGATCAGAACCTCTTCCGTGGGAATGGGTGATGTCACCAAGTGGGCGGGAATGATTTCCTGTTTCAGAGACTATACTTACACACTGACCACAAACAGACACTGCCTTGGAGAGGTTTTCAAACCCTTTCATTAATTTGTACCGAACCAGTACAATGTCTTGCCTCATTGTAAAGTGATAAGAAGATTATACATAATAAGAAAAGCTTAGACTCTCTTCCCTCTGATATCCCAAAGATACAGCCAAGAGGCCTATGGTAACTCTGGAGGAGCTGCAGATCTCCACAGTTTAAGTGGGAGACTGTTGACATGACATTTACTAAACCTGCTTTGCACGAATCTAGCCTTAATGGAGAAGCAGTAAGAACAAAGCAACTGCTGAAAGAAAGCCAAAGGAAGTGCAGTTTTTCAAACGCAAAGCAGATAACAAATCTGTGGCAGAAGGTGCTCTACTAAAAGGAGACCAAAATGAGACTTTTTGGCTAATATATGATTCTCTTATCACAAAGTAATACTGCACATCCTATCTATAGTGAAACATAGCGGTTTCTGTGAAGATGTACTTCTTTAGTCCTTCCATGGATGCTGGTAAGAGATAATCGGGAGATGGATGGCGCTAAATACTGGGCAATCCTGGAAGAAGACCTGTATAGGTATCAGTCTCAAACTCAACTCCTGGAGGCTGATGTCCTCCAACTACTCATTTGCATAAAACAACTAAACTGCCTCTATAACAGTACAGAGCTCTGCTACTGAGCTATATTTGATAGGTGTATTGAAGCACAGATTAATCTGGAAGTTGCACAGTACTAGCCCTGAGGAACTGGAGTTTGGTGTCTCTGTTTTAAAGTCTGGTAAAGGCAAATACAATGTAAGCTTTAAATCAAAACATATTAATGCTAAAATGGCCAAGTCAAAGTCCAGTTCCAAAGATAATCTGTAGGGGAAAATCTGCATGCCTTGAGGAGTACTGAGAAGATGCCCTCTATCCAGTCTCACTAAGTTTTAATTTATTAAGCAATAAAGAATACATGAATAAATGGTGGAAGCAAAGGTTCCACTTTTTAAACCAATTTTCATTCTTCCTACCAACTATGGACTATTTTGTTCTGGACTATGACATAAAACTTTAAATTATACACCAAGCGATTGTAAGGTGACAAAAGAAGAAAAATCTTAGAAGTATGAATAGATTTGCATTTTACTGTACAGGTAAAACAGGGAACTATTAAGTCATGGTTAGTACATTATGTAAAACTCACACTGTTCTGCTCTGATTCTTGCACAAAAAAGGCCTCTCCATTGTCTCCAAGCTTCATGTGCAGCTCCACAGGTTCTCCGTTGATCTGGATGTCAATCTGCCAAATCAGAGTTTCACAAGTAAAGAAAACTGTGTGCCAAGTCCCCACACTCAGATTGCTTCAAGTTAAAACAAACAACAACAAAGTGTCACAGAAAACCACAACTCTGTGCACCGGATTTACCTGAAATTCAAAGCAGAGCCATGGAAAACAGCTTTGGGTTATTCAATCAAAAAAGCAACCAAATCACAACAAAACCCTTACTTTTATCTGAAGCATCCAAAAGTTTTCTGGAGAAGGAGAGGTCAACACATTGAAGCTACAAGATGCAGACATTTCATATTTACATACAGTTTGTGTTCTCTGATGTGCTTTACAGAAAAGGACTGTTCAAACCACCAGTGAAACACCCGCAGACGACTTCCTGCCTCGTCTAACACTCCGGTAACTCTACAGCAGATGAAATCTACGAGGCTATATTTTTTGAATGAGCTGAGAGACTTATTTGAGCTTCAGCCTCTTGTTCCCATGTCAGAGGTTATTAACAGGACACAGAGGACAAAGTTCTGTTGCGAGAGGCAGACTAGTTTGGGATCATAATGTGTTTAAGATGGAAACAGAGAAGCAAATTGATATTTCAAAATAAAACTCTAAAAATTGTGGATAACAGTTATCTTCATTAGAAATGTTACTTAAGACTTGTTTAGATGTGGGTAGAATATGCAGAAATTGCATTACTTCAATATATTTTCACTCAAGTAAGATTAGTGTAACTTCAAAGAATACATTGTTCTGTATTTATTTATTACTTTAATGTAAACTGAAATATATTTTATTGATTAACTAAACCCCAAAACTAAAGATATCAACACAATGTTATTTAAACAGACGTATAAGGTCTTATTGTACGCACCACTTTCTCCCTGGAGCGCAGAACACCAAGTTTCCCGAAGCGGACATGAAAAGGAGAGCACTGGAATGTCCCGTCAGGCTGACGGACCACAATCACGTCGATGCAGCCCGACAGGGTGGCCTGATTGATTCCTTTATACAGCTCCTTCACAGTCACCAGTACCTGGCCCGCCAGCTTCCCCACATAGTTCATGGTGTCTACCTGTTAGGATCATAAACACAATTTTAGTATCATTTTAATAAAGCTCTTATTTTATTTTGAGCTAAATAGGTCACTATCCCCATAAAAAGGCTGCTGTTGCTCAGAATAGCCAGTCCCTAAACGTGCTGGTTCTGTCCTATTTCCCAAACGGTCCAGAGATGAATAAAACATATCCTGGGGCTCTGCTACAGCGATCAAGGCTGCAGAGGTGGGAGGTCCAAAAGTATCCAGAACCAAATAAAGTCTGCAGAAATTAACCCACCTAAGATCAAATATAAAAGATGTAGTTTAGAACTTTAAGGTGAAATAGTCTTATAGTCATTGCTACAGTAAAGGAGTAAAAATCTATTAGCTTCATCTCAAAAAGGTTAAAAAGCAATCCACTGGACCAAGTTTGAAAATGTTTCGCTTCCTATCCAGGAAGCTTTTTCAATTCAAAATGTCAGAAATAGCGTTGAGTTAGAAAACATACAAATTGTTACAGACAAAAGGGTTTTGCATGTTTTCTAAAAGCTTTGTTGGGCTACTGTATAAGAGCCTCGAACTCAACGCTGTCTACTGGTTTAGGTCACTGCTGTGGCCTGAGACTCCAGATGCATCCAACCCTAAAATGGGGCAGTTCCTCAGTGATACCTTGGTGTTAGTGCTTTAGAGGATAGATTATATAGCTGAGACTGACTAGTTAAAACTACTGTCTGTACAAACTCACTACGGAGGCAAGTAGACACAGAGCAGCTTTTTATATCGCACAGCAGGAGACCCTTCCTGGGTGAGGCCACAATAGCATTAAAACAATTGGAAAATACTAATTCAAAATTGGATGCTGTATATTCGTTTATTATTAGAAAGGCACCAAAATGACTCTTTTAAAACACAAAAGCAGGATGGCAACGAATATGCAGTAAAATGATAACAGGAACCTCATGACCATATAGCATCCATTTGACATTTTCCTGGTAAAAAGAAGTTGATTTGGGGGTTAGATTTGTTTTTGTGTTGTCATTTGTTTTCTTTGGGAGTTATTGTAACAGTAAACCAGATTATTTTCACAGGAAATGGAAGAAAGAGGCGGTGCACCACTAATGATCTTCCTGTGTTAAACACAGGAAGATCTGCTTTTATTTTGTAGATTGCAGCTTTTGTTTTGTTTTCTTATCTTTATTCTGCTTACCCTGCCTTGAAAAATCAAAAATATCAAAAGCTTTTCTGCATAATATTCAGCATTTTCAATTATCTAAAATGAACCTCTTTATAAAATTTTGGAATCATGCTTCTTGAGTAACATTTTCAATGACTTAGACTATGCTAAACACATAAAATGTAATAAAATAAAAACATTTGCAACAGAAAGGAACACTTTGTTTAATCCATGCACTATTTCTTATGAAAATTTTTTTTAAATGTACTAAAAGGTTGTTTGACACCAAGTTTTCTGCAAACTGATTCTTGGTTATACAGATTTAGAACTGAAGCGATACAGTATATTGGTCCAAACTGGGTCACAAGGTATTTCTAATATTTCAGGTTCAGTTTTCTACTGGGCCTTGGTCTGTCAATAAAAATGCTCACATCCTCTCATGACATCATAGTTTAGCTGGAACACATCAGCTGTTTAGGTCTTTTTCATAAGAAATATATTATATATCTTATTAAAAAGAAATACTTCCTTTTATTTAATACAGAATCAAAAACAATCTAGACAGCAACGAGACAGAAAATAATTACTTCCACCTGAGACTTCCAAATGTTTGGTATTTTAGAAAGTGTCTATATAGAAAGTTCGGCATATGATTTTTTTTTCTTCCTTTTTTTTGCTTTATGTAATCAAGTTGCAAAACTGCCTGAAAAAGGGCAAATATAAAGTTTAGAGTTTACAGTAGCTTATACTTAAGGTGGTTAAGGTAATATCCTCTTGATAAATATGGTGAATAGTGGCTATTGTATTCCTTTTTTCTTATTCAGAGTCACAAAGTCAGTCACTTTAAAACAAAAAAAAAAGGAAATATGTAAAGTTTTGGTTAATATGAACCAAGAGGTACAAAAACAAACATCTTTGAGAAAACAATACATATTTTTTTCTTTCTTCTCTTATGGAAATAATTGATAAAACTATTTAAAATAAAGAATGATGAGGCAAGTCTGAGCACAGCAGAAGGCATCATATTACACATTCATGGTACGTTATGGATTTGTGAATGTGAATGACCTGTCAGACATTAAAGCAAACAAACACTTTGTTTTTATCGATAAAACCCATCTACACTACTTCATGACACACCTTCCCTCCTCAGCTGCCTGTAGTTTATCCCTCAAAGACGTCACTGACCAAGGTGATTATATTCCCGCACCTTATCTAGAAGCTGCATTTGTAAGTATGTTTCTTGTAATCAGGAGCAATTTTTGAACAAGATATACTGTAAACCTATTATCTGCTTGTTTGTGAATTAAGTTTTTTGCCTAAACAATAGTTTGATACAAATGGGTGGAACAACAATGTATTTATACAGTTACCCTGGCTTTAGCTGCATATCAGCTGGATGGACTTTGACACCACTTAGTCAGACTGTGCTGAGCTCTCTGAGGTCTTACAGTAAGTGCTGATCTCTTACTGATAAATTGGAGTCTCTAGTTTGAAAAACAGATGCCTCACAGGTCCCCAACTGGCATCTTCATTAAATAGTACCCGCAAAACACCAGTGTCAACATTTACAGTGAAGAGGCGGCTGTGGGATTCTGGGCTTCAGGGCAGAGTGGCAAAGAAAAAGCCATATCTGAGACTGGCCAATAAAAGAAAAAGATTAAGATGGGCAGAAGAACACAGACATTGGACAGAGGAAGACTGGAAAAAAGTGTTGTGGATGGATGAATCCAAGTTTGAGGTGTTTGGATCACAAAGAAGAACGTTTGTGAGACGCAGAACAAATGAAAAGATGCTGGAAGAATGCCTGATGCCATCTGTTAAGCATGGTGGAGGTAATGTGATGGTCTGGGGTTGCTTTGGTGCTGGTAAGGTGGGAGATTTGTACAGAGTAAAAGGGAGTCTGGATAAGGAAGGCTATCACTCCATTTTGCAACGCCATGCCATACCCAGTGGACAGCGCTTGATTGGAGCCAATTTCATCCTACGTACAACAGGACAATGACCCTAAACGCACCTCCAAATTGTGCAAGAACTATTTAGAGCAGAAGCAGACAGCAGGTATTCTATTGGTAATGGAGTGGCCAGCGCAGTCACCAGACCTGAACCCCATTGAGCTGTTGTAGGAGCAGCTTGACCATATGGTACGCAAGAAGTGCCCATCCAACCAATCCAACTTGTGGGAGCTGCTTCTGGAAGCTCCAGATTACTTCAACAAATTAACAGCTAGAATGCCAAAGGTCTGTAATGCTGTAATTGCTGCAAATGGGGGATTCTTTGCAAAGTTTGATGTAAAAAAAAAATATCTTATTTCAAATACAAATCATTATTTCAAACCTTGTCATTGACTCGGTTTTCTATTCATTTCACAAGGTATGGTGGTGAATAAGTGTGACTTTTCAGGAAAACACAAAATTGTTTGGGTGACCCCAATCTTTTGAACGGTAGTGTATGTATGTATATACTCAATGTAACTCAATGTAAATTATTCTTATTTCTTATTTAAACCATTGCATATATGGGCTGCAACATATAAATCAAGATGCTATGACCGAAAACAATTTATTGACAGTTGACAGTTGATACATGATTGGCTGAATTTAGGTGTACAAGCTGACATATAACTAACTGGTCCGCATAAAATAACCATAAAAACCTCCACAAATTTAAGACACAATTTTTTTAAGAATAGAACTTTTCAAACTTTTGGGACAATGTTGTCTGATAAAGAGTACATTTATATACATGTTTAAGCCAGAATGATTTAACATTTAAATAAGAATTCCCTTCGACTTAAAGTCCATAATTACTATGCAGTTGTTTACAGGGAGGCATTACAACTGAGTTCCAACTGTCATTTTTTAATAAACTTAATAGGAGTTCAGGGGCATGTTCCGCAAGGATGAATCATTAAGGCTGAACACCTTTTTTACTTGTGTTCTATTCAATAAATTTTAATCAGTTTCTTCTTTTATTGACAGTTCACAGAGAAAAAAGATGACAATGTTGACCAATCAGGAACAAAAAAATGACTTGAACTGACCAGAGTCCACGTGGTCTTAAGGTCCTCCTGCTGTTCTCCAGGTGTAGTCTCTGAGACCTCCATATATGAGGCATTTATGAAATCTGCAGCCGAGCCCTTTCTAATACAATCTTTTCTTCTGGTGGACTCCTTTTCTCAGTGCCATGTGCAACAGCTTCTAAGACCCTTCTACAAGAACTATGTGAGAAAATGATCCCTAACCTGAACTCTGATATTCTTACATAATCTACTCAAGAACCAGTCCCCATTAACCACCATCTCATGCACTAAGGGTTTCTTTCAACATTGCAAAACAGCTTGGAGGCAGAGTTTAATCTTTTTGTTTGAGTAAAAGTTTAATCGCTTTAAAGACTTAGATTTTGGTAGAGCTGTAAGAGCTCCTTCAGTTTCCAGATGTCCGATATGTATACTAATTCATTGTATGGATTAACAGTGATAATGTCCACATATTTGGCAGGCCAGTAAATTAAAAAGAAGTTGCAACAAGCGTTGCAACTTCACGCAGTGCAATGTCATCAGCATTGAAAACAAGTGTTTTCAATGCTGATGACATTGCACTGCGTGATACACTGAGGGCGCCCCCCTGCAGCTTATAATGGAACTGTAAGTCATAGACTCTTTCAACAGAAAAAGCATTAGTGTCCGGGTGAGCTGGTGATGATACCATGCATATTTCTGCACAACCAGAAAGCCCAGACAGTGGGGTGTTCACTTTCTGCATCCTCTGCACTAGACTCTGTAATCTGTTACCATCTTTCTCTCTAGTTACTTGAAAATCAGCAGTTCTTTTGAATTTATGGCAGTTTCTACTCTCATTCTAGTAATCTATACATCATTTTTGGTATTTGGTACTTTCTTTTCTGTTCCCTAATTATATAGAAAGATGTATGTGTTTTTTTATGTATGTTTTATCTGTCTACCCTTCCTCTTGTAATTGGCAGGTCATAATGATCATTTGACCACTAACCTGCACAAACTGAGCAGCTGTCTTTGATTGTCTTTTTAACTAACACTAAGCAGACAGACAATTTAGCCATTACCCTGCCGAAAGCCCTTCAAGCTGAAAGGTGTTTTTATCACATTAGCCATTTACCAATAAAGACTTCTTAATAACTTTCCTCCTGAGTACCTTAGATCTGTCCTAAATCCTATGCACTATATTTGCCTTGAGTTTGACTCCCTGCTGTGCCATCCTACAAACATTGAAGGAATTGTGTACAATATCTCATGCAGAACCTAGTAATAACAGATTTCCACAAAATAACACTTTAATTCCTGAAAAAAAAGTGATCATATATTTTTATTTTAACCAAACCTTCTTTTTTGCTGCTGAATATAAGGACTATTTCATACCTGGCAAAAACAACACCACAAATAACAAAACAATAAGTGAAGTCTCGCCCCATTCAAGCCTCAACCATTTAAAAAGCAACTTTGCATTGATCAACCAATCCCGTTGCAGTATTATACAATAAGTGGGACAGGAGGATGTACCTCTTGCTATAACATCTATTTTGCCAGAATTCAAGACTACAACTTTAAAAGAACAAGAAGAAGAAGTAGTGCTGCGCCATAAGTGCCACAAATGCATCACGATTAAAGTCTCTCATGTCAGTCAATAAAATTATTAATGATTATTGTTCTGTTTACCTTCATAAAAAAAAGACCAGGTGAAAAAAGCCTGAATTTAAACTGTAACCCTAACCCTATTCAGACATAACCTTAAACCTCCAAAAAGCGTTCAGCCCTACTGGCACCCTTCCTTAGATTGACCATGAGCGATTGCTCATATTACCCAGAATATCACATGATTCGGATCAGAGTTCAGCGGTATTCCAAAATTTTATCAGACATATTGTCCATTTATATTGATCCAGTGTCTATGGAAATATATTAATTTTGATTTAGCCTTTATTTATTGAGCCTTAGCAAAACAAACTTTGCATTTGAATAGAAATAAACCTGAAGCGCTACACATGATCATTCTTGATTTCCTGTTTAGGCGTTTGATGCTAACAACATTCATTCATTTGTAACAGTGATTGAGCAAAACAAAACAAACTTAACAAACACAGGGTGACGTGTTCTGCTGAATGGCCCCCTGTCCATATATGATTCGATTGGACCAGATTGATAATAAATAGATCTAAACAGAGAAGGCTAGAGATTATCAATCAGTTTTCCCAGGTCACAACACAGACTCTCTGTTAGAAATACTTCTTGACATAGAACCAGTGAACAATATCATTTGTGAACATGGATTTAAGAAAATAATTAAAAATAGAATCAAAAGCCAGACCGTGGAGTTGACTAGAGCTGTTGTTTGTAACAATAAAATTTGTAAACGATTTTTTTTTTGACATGTTGTAAAAAATCTTTTAACATGTGTTCATTGTCATAAAAAAAATAATTATTTAATTTTTGTCTGGCTTCGGCAAATGATGCAGAGTATGTTCAACTGTAGACACCGTCTGGGTATTTAACTTTCCTTCATTTCACCACATGTGACGTTTCAGAACCCAACAACATAGTCAAACTTAATGCAGACAGACAGATAAAGTTTAAGCAGCACTAAAGAGAGTGTTCTAGTCAGATCATATTGACTGAGGTGTATAACTGAATGTTAGTTACACAAATCCTGCTTATGGAGAGAAAAGAAGATTTGCACTACTTTTGCATGGCCAGCTAAAGGAAGGCATTCTGGTGCATTGATGCAAGTAGAAGTCAGCGCTTTTACACACATCAGTAACAGTAAAGTTCATCCACAATGGACTCTGGACAAGGAAACTTTGAAGGTTATGAATAAATGTAATCCTCAAGTGAAATATCTGCTTGTGGTAAGTGCAAAAGAGCATTAAAATGAAAGTAAATTCACAGTACTGGTTAAAAGAAACTAGAAATAATGTGGTTTTGAAAAGCTCATACTGATATATAAAGGAAAGTTTTATGATACCACATAAGATTTGGTATATTTGTTAAATGCAAGACAGAGTATGTTTTAGATACTAAAAGTAGGGGGATCAAGGAGAAAACCATATCTCTGACTGGCATAAACATAATATTATATCTTAAACCAGAATTACATTTCTTCAGAACTATACTTCTACTCTTTTTTTGCTTATAATATAGTATAAATTTGTTCTTTAAAAGAGAACACGTTTTCTAAATAATATCAGGTATACAGATTTTAATCACAGACTTCAGTTTTAGGTTTCTTTTAGGGTTACAGCACTTAATGACTTCAACTCAAAAGCAACCAGATCTCATCCATTCTCTCACTGTAGGGTGACATTACTAACCCTTAAGAAGTGTTAATCCTGTTAATAAGATTAGGTCAAATCTGCAGCTGCACGTTCCTCCCTCTGACTGTGGGCAGCTTTCCCCTTTAGTCTAGAACAGCTATTAGTGTTTTTGGGTGTGGGACTGTTGCCATGGCTCCTGAGAAACTTGATATCAAATGATATATAATAATGTCAGTAGATCGTCTCCATTATCAGAATTTATTGAAGTAGGTTTGCACTTAAAAGGAATTTGACTTGGTGCTGATGGTGCAGACATCAGGGGTTATTTTGTGCTATATTATTTATGAGAAATGTTCTTTTTAAGTGTTGCAGTGTCCTCGTAGCTCTTAATTGGTTTAAAAATGTTAAATTAAAACTATTATATTGACAGTTTGAAAGCAACAACGATTTATAAATAAACTTATCTTGTTGTGCTTTCATGGCTCATATGATTTCTGGGAAACAGCTTACATCATTCAGCTATGGGTTGATTTCTTTAATGTCTTTAGTCTAACAGAAATCTACCTCGAAATAACCCATGAAGATTCCAATATATATATATATTTTTTATTTTAAATAAAAATATATGTTTACTTCTACAGAAACTCAATAGCACTGTCTAAATGACGTATTAAGGCGTAATAAATTAATTTTGTTATCGTTTTTTTGCATTATTTTTTTTTTTTTTTTTTTTTACATAAAGTTGCTACAAATCAAGTTGATTGAAACATTGAAACTGGCTCTACGTTCGTAAAGTTCCCAGGGCTGCTCTGAACTTTAAAAGCCAATTTTAAATGGCTCGGACACCGTTTGGTGACGTCAGAGACGCGAATAAGAGACCAATGAACGGAAGTTATGTTTTTATTTTATATATTCTATATATTCTAAGCTTGTTAAAAGAAATAGCAGTGAAGATAAAATGAGTAAATCTCCCTACCTGCTGCGAATAGTTATTCAGCGGTAGCAGGTAGACAGTCTGTCAGTCAGTCTCTTCCTCCACCCGGCGGCACATATCAAGGTTTCCCTCCGCTCCTCCTCCTCTTCCTCCTGCAGCTGCTTCACGTGACCTCGCGCGCTGATGAAGCAACCAGCAAGAGGAGATAAAGGAGAAAAACTCACCTTCTATTTACCTTTGAAATGCTGCATAGATTTAGTCGAACCAGCTACTACCTTCAAAGACTCAAAAGTGATATTAATGCAAAATATACTTTTTGTGATGTTCAAAGAGAATAATTCATATATTTTGGCATTGCACCTATTAAAAATTGTTCCTAGAATAATTTTCTCTTTCTATTGTAAATAATAATCGCCCTCACTTTTCACTATGTTGGTAACAAGTTTTTTTTGTGTGTGTGTGTGTTACAGTTATTATGTCAATGACTTACAATCTCTTGACTTACAGTCATTTGTTTCTCATCATTTCGAAATCAATTAGAATCTAAATTAACTTTAACAGCAACACAGACATGCTATGTCAGAAAGGGCAGCAGCGCTTATACTGCCTAAGAAAGCTTCCCAGGTTTCAGGTTGACAAGACTCTAATGACCATGTTCTATAGATCTTTATAGAGTCCATACTTACCTTCTCTGCCATCTGCTGGTACACTCTTCTTAATGTAAAGAATAAAAATGCCATATATAAGATTATTAAGGTATGCAGTAAGATCATGGGTGTTCAACAGAAAAACATGTCTGATTTGCATGAAGAGCAGGTAATTAGGAAGGCTGAGTGCATCTTGGATAATTATACCCATCCCCTACGTAACGAATTCCAGTTTCTACCTTCTGGTTCCCGTTTTAAATATCCACCAGCTCAGACCAATTGATACAAACACTCATTTATTCCCTCTGCTGTTCGGCTGCTGAACTCTACTAGGAAAAGTAGATAGTCA